TTGTGGGCAAGCTAAATGAATTATCCACATATATTCTACAAGTGAATAACCCAAATCTATGATGAATATCCATTCTCTAAATGATTCATTTTTAGTGATTATACAAGGTGAATGAGGCAGCATAATTGCCAATACTTTGCAAAAAAGATAAATGTCTATATTACCGTTTTCTTACGTAAGAAAATAAATCTACTTAAGTCACGGCCTTAAATATTTAAGATTCGAATTACAGGTAGAGAAATTGATATAATATCATATCTTAAATACCGAATTCTATGTCATTACTTATCTATTTATGAGTAATTTATATTCATTTCATTTTGGAATAAAGCTCCATGAAATTCATCCTTTGAATCTACAAAAAAAACGTGTATGAATGTAGTTAGCATAAATGTTTGACAATTCAACAACATGTCTGTCGCAATACAGAGAATGCGTTAGATTCGAAGTTAAAGATAAAGGGTTGGGACATTCATAAAAAAAAACAAAAAAAACTAGTGTAATGGAAAGGCAGAAAATGGCCGGGAAAAGAGGACAGTTATACTATGCGAAGAGTCTGGTGTAAAATTACTTTGTGTGCGCAGCTGCACAGCATGCATATGTATCTGCAGTGTATAGGGCTGTGTGCGTATATATATATATATATATATATATATATATATATATATATATATATATATATATATATATATATTATATATATATATATATAATATAAATAATGATGTGTATATGAGTATATATATGTGTGTATATGTATATGTGTATATACTATATGTGTATATATATGTATATATATGTATAAATATATTCACACACACACCACACACACACACACACACACACACACACACACACACACACACACACACACACACACACACACACACACACACACACACACACACACACACACACACACACACACACACACACACACACACACACACACACACACACACACACACACACACACACACACACACACACACACACACACACACACACACACACCACACTACACACACACAGACACACACACACACACAGACACAGACACACACACACACACACACACACACACACACACACACACACACACACACACACACACACACACACACACACACACACACACACACACACACACACACACACACACACAAACACGCACACACACATACGCGTTTGTGTGTGTGTACATAACCCAAACTAACCGCATCTGAAATGGAGTAGAACAGCAAATTGCAAATGCCACGAAATTGATACCGCCATCTTTTTTTTTTTTAAACAGATTAGGAAAATTGAAATGATTGGGCTGATTGGACATTGACGAGGGCGGGGGTTTCAATCAGTGCGTTGGATTAGAGAGTGACTAATCTCCTCTGGATATTGGATTGAGAAAAAAAATGGAAGCAAAGAAACAGCGAGGCTTGATAATGATGATAATTGTGATAATCAAAGCCATGATAACGGTAGTCAGTATTGATGGTTATATGATGATAATCATGAGAGAATTGAAGGAATGATGATAATATGATAATAACAGAGATGATGATGATAATGGTCATTGATAACCATGATGATTATGATGACATTTATGACGATAATGATGATGAAAAACATTATGAAAATAACAATCAGATAAATTCATCATTAAATGATAAATATGACGATAATGATGATGAAAAGCATTGATAAATATGACGATAATGATGATTTAATACATTATAAAAATAACAATCAGATAAATAATCATAAATTGATCACTAAATGAAACAGCGCAATCATCATTAAATGATAAATATGACGATGATGATGATTTAATACATTATAAAAATAACAATAAGATAAATTCATCATTAAATGATAAATATGACGATAATGATGATGAAAAACATTATAAAAATAACAATCAGAAAACTTGATCACTAAATGAAACAGCGCAATCGAAATTTTAAGCGATTTATACGATTCGCATCAGAGCTTCGGGAGGAATAGGAAGGGGGAGACGGGGGGGGGGGGGGGGGGGGGTTGAAGGTCATTAATTGAAGCTAATGAAAAATGAAATAAAGTACTTATTAACCGCTTGACCCTTGACCTCGATGATTGACAGCAACAGGACGTCGGGGGAATTCTCTCTTGATTTCTTGCGGGCGTAATAAGCGAGGTGTGTTTGGCTTTCTGTTGTGTTGGTCTGTTTGGAGGTTTCGTTCTTCGACTTGTTAGATTCTAAAAAAAAAGAAAATTCTATTGTCTTTGGTTAGATTCTGAAAAATAGATTATGTTTTTATTGTCTTTTTTATCTATTTATTTTCTTTATTTGTTTTCATTTTGGTTTCTTATATTGCCTCTAGAAAGAAAGGTACAAGGTATACATATGGCATAGATTTCTAACACGTCACACGTACACACTCACACTCACACTCACACTACACACACACACACACACCACACACACACACACACACACACACACACACACACACACACACACACA